CTGGTCTTAATATACAACTTTAAGGAGCAAGAGACTCCATTACAGTGGATATAGCCTTAGTCTCTCGACTTAGGTGAACCACTTATACTCAATTTCTTCTACTATTCGCAAATCAATCTTTTTCCCCATTGAACTCACCAATCTAAGCAGTAGCATATTAATCGGGCATGGGCCATTGTTTCTAAGTAGTTATCACCACCCAAATCTAATACTTGAAACAAACATTGCCCACATAGTATTATCATTATATTGAATATTTATTCCACAATGTCAACAAATTGAGGTGTCCATATTAATTATATGATTGGCTTATAGTGTCCACAATGTCCATAATTCTATCACTTATTTTCTAACTGCATGGCAAGACTTGCTAGTATCGTGTGCTATTTGTGGTGTTCCAAATATTGTAAAATCACTTATTGAAATTTCTAATTTGAACCATGTAATGTATAACAAAATAGTAACAAAAGAGTTACACAGAATCAGTCATACACGAAAGAGTTACTGCAGTCTTACGAAACAATAACGACAAACAGTTACACGTAACTATTTGTCAAGCACAAAGAAATACTAACCCGGTTTAAAATAGGTATTATTTTTAAAGTTGATGTAGATCAAGGCTAGTGTTTGACACTATGTCCTTAAGACAGATTTTGCCCCTATATAGGATGCTTATGGAATATCATGCGTCTGCGTCCCAAGATACAATGATCTTTACACGAACAAAAGTAGCACTCCAATCTACTTGTCCAGTGAACCAAAATTGTGTTGTGTATTCTCCAAATACAGACTCCTTAATGTCGTAATGCAATGCTCTAATGACTGGCTTAACTCTGAATATGACTGATGATTGTAATGAATTAATGAATGATAATGAGACTGAGTATTTATAGACACTTTGGTGACTTTCCGGACAGTCACCATACTAAAAGAAACAACCCAAAAGATGAAATGCAACAACCAGAAGACATCTTGATGAACAGACACAACTTCAAATTTCGGACAGGATCCAAAGTTTGCGATTCAAAGGATACCGAAAATTTAATTTTAGGTTAATAAATTTACGCCCAATTAATTAAATGAATTTTTTTCAAAAAGATAGGGCTTGGTCTAAATCACACACGTACCCGTACCCGAGCCCAGCTCGATCAGGTCGGGTCGTAGCGTGGCGGGCAGGCAGCGTGGTCGAATCGAAAGCATGTAGGCGCTTGCTCCGCTCATAAAATTGTGGTACACCTTGGAGCCCAATCACATAGAGCAAACTTGACCTATATATACCCGTGTTGAATTTCTTCGTCAACCAATGTGGGATTGGTGTCAAATCTCACATTGTACAACTTTTATTTCTACATCGCATGAGGGTCACTTTGAAGCCTATTTTCTCCTTTATTTCTTACTCGATTTGAGCAAGTTAATATACTAAATTATTCTTCTCACGAAATAGAATGTGAACCCACAAAATTTTATTCGAAATAACGAACGGGTCACAATTTAATTTATGCTCAAAGTCGACCAAAAATTCAGTTTTTATACTTAAAAAACTGTTTTTGTCTAACAATCTCCCACATGAATGAAAAATTAGATGTTAGTATGCAAATAATAATGCTGACACACTATAGAGAGTACATTTTTGGAAATATCGTACATTGAGATAGGTAGTTTTTGGCCTTGAACCTTCTCTAATGAAAGCTCATCGAACTTATCGGCTAAATAGTGAACGTGATGTCTTGAACTATTCAGCTGTTTGATAAATCATATCGAATAGACTTCACACAGTCTCTTTCCTAACACAATTGGTTCTCATGATTGTGTTCATTTTGGCCCTGAATAACTCCTGATTTTCATGAGTACTTTAGAGAATTCAGCCTTTATAAATTCTCATAGAAGCAGCCCCTTCACACCTATATAGGTGACTCATATTAGAAATATCCTACAATATTCCACTTGGATTTACCAAGATATAAGATTCATTAAAAACATAGCTTACTCTAATAAACTCTGCAGGCGGCACTAATTTATCATAAGAATATGTACGAGAGATTATCTCCTTAGAGTTTTTTTTTGAATCACGCATAATTCAGGTGTCCCTTTGAACCTAGATCTTGGGATCTTCAGTCAACTAAGTTGGGTTGCCATTAAGGTGACTCTTGTGTCATAGGCTTTAATCTCATTCCCCTCGATGTGTAATTTACTTGTTTTCTCGTCAAACCTTTAGTAAGCGGATCCGCTAGATTATCCTTTAATTTTATATAATCAATAGAAATAATTCCATTTGAGAGCAATTGTCTAACAGTATTATGTCTACGACGTATATGTCTAGACTTACCATTATACATGTCACTTTGTGTCCTACCACTTGCAGATTGGCTATCGTAATGTATACAAATTGCTGACACAGGTTTAAGCCATATTAGAATATCCTTTAGGAATTGGCAAAGCCACTTAGTTTTCTCTCCTTATTTATCTAAAACAATAAATTCAGATTCCATTGTGAATCTGACAACACACGTTTGCTTAAAGGACTTCCAAGATACAGCTGTACCACCAAATGTAAAAACATAACTCACTTGTGAATTTTGTATCATTCATATCAGATATCCAGTTTGTGTCCCTATACCCTTCAAATACAGCTGGATATTTTGTATAGTGCAATTCAAAATTTAGGGTATATCTTAAGTATCTAAGAACCCTGATAATTGTCTTCCAATGCTTTACTCCCGGATTACTTGTACATGTACTTAATTTACTAACTGAATATGCTATATCCGGTCTAGTGCAGTTCATGACATACATTAGACTACCAATGATATGAGAGTATTCCAATTGTGATATGTTTTGACCAGTATTTTTAGACAAATCAAGATTTATATCAACTGGTGTTCTAATAATGCTGCTTTCATCTTTGTTGAACTTCTCAAGTATTTTCTCAATATAATGTGATTGAGATAATATAAGTCCACCAAATGTTCTAGAAATTTTAATTTCTAGTATAACATCTGTAACACCTAAATCTTTCATGTCAAACTTATTGGACAACATTTTTTTGGTAGTTGTAATAATATTATTATTACTACCTAAAATAAGCACATCATCCACATATAGACAAACAATGATATATCCATTATTTGTGTCTTTGACAAAGACACATTTATCACATTTATTAATTGTGAAACCATTTGACATCATTACCTTGTCAAATTTCTCATTTCATTGTTTTGATGTTTGCTTTAAACGATAAAGTGATTTAACAAGTCTGCACATCTGCTTTTCTTGTCCTGGAGAAACAAACTCTTCGAGTTGGTCCATATAAATTTTCTCATTTAAGTCACCATGTAGGAAAGTTATTTTCACATCTATTTGGTGTATCTCAAGATTATGCAACGCTGCAATAGCTATGAGCATACAAATGGATGTTATTCTTATGACAGGAGAATATGTATCAAAATAATCAAGATATTCATTTTGTTTGTAACATTTAACTACAAGTCTAGCCTTGTACTTATCAATTGATCAATCATGCAAAATCACACCTTGGACATCTTAACCCCAATGGTTTACAATTGCAACTAACGTACTTCAATTTATGACAAAAAATGAATGGTAGTCTCGGCAAAATCCACATTATTATCAATTCATAACATTGATGATGTAAATTGAAATTTTTAATGTTTGATGACAAATTAAAAATCAAAACATCTTTCAGGGTGTAAAATGACATTAGCCTTTTTTATATGTCAATTCTCAAATTAAGTGTACGACTTATAATTTTCATAAAATTAGGTGACATTTATATTGGCAATACGTTAGTTTTAGCCAAAAATATATTATTATATCTCAATCACGTGGGGTTAAGGTGTCTTGATTCAAGCTGAACTCAAGCATGGTATAATTTGTTATGATTTATTATAATTTTGACACAAATGACAGCGTATAGAGAGAGAGAAATATATGAGATATAGGATAAACGTATTAAATATATTTTGTTATTATTCGATATATATAGTCATCTAAGTCAAACCCTCCAACTCTTATAACTTTATTATTGTATGCATTTAGGATGGAGAGAGAGAGAGTGTGTGTGTATGTGTGTTTAAAATGTGTGAAAGATAGGAGAGCGAGACGTAAAAAGAATGAAAATTCAATTAGGATCATATAGATATAAATATCGATAGATAGATATATATAGGATAAAGATGAAAGTCATAGAGTAATAAAAAGAATGAAAGTCTAATTAGAGAGAGAGATAGGGAGAGAGTGTTAGATAAGATATATGAGCCTTAAAAAATTTTCACATGAGGACCGTCGGATTAATAATTATCAAACGATCTGAATCGCAAAAAACTTAGGACAAACTTTTTTAACTACTTTATTATATAAATATTAAATACTTTTTGGACTAAAATAATTCAATTAAAATATTGGAAATCAAAATAAAACAAACTCATACTTTAGAGACCTATAGTACAATTAATCCAAAAAAAAAAAGGGGCCAAACAGGACTCCCACAAAAAATTGTTGACATAATCTCAGATCGACTGAAATAGGAACAAAACAGTAAAACTAATTGATATGGCGCTCATATGGTGATGTCGACTAAGCAAAACTTATATTTCTACCGAATTTTATCACGTCAAAACTCGAAACCAACTTCAAATTCTGTTCCGAAAATTAAAATTTGTCAGAGACCGGAGGAGGAGATAGAAAGAGGGCTCAGTATATTGGTCAACATCATAATATAATTGTCATATGGTCCACTTTTTATTTTTTTTTCTTTTCTAATTGTTGGTTAGTCTAATCTCACCCATATTGTCAACCCTCCTTTGCCTTGACTAGGTGCCATGTATTGCATTTTCCACACGCAGGACAACAAATTGAACAACTAATCAATGGATGAATGGAACACGCACTGGGTACAAAAGTCCTATTCTACTTCTGTGAGAGAGAGAGAGAGAGAGAGAGCAAGGGCAGTGGTAGTCAGAATCTTTTAATTTTTTTTCTTCATGGTTACTCGGATGTATTTGCTGCTATGTCTCCTGATCACAGTGGTGAACTGTGACAACAGCTTCATCTTTTATGAAAAGTTGAAACTTGGTGACGAAGCAGAGATATCACCAGGAGGTCTCATAAAGAATGCAAACGAAACAAGTTGGGGCATGGGTTCTGTTTTCTATTCACTTCCCCTAAGCTTCAAGAATTCGTCAAACGGTGATGCTTTCTCTTTCTCCACCATNATGTGGCCTCTGGACTTCGTTGCTTGCATGAAGAGTGGACGGAAGTAATTATTCACAGAGATATCAAGGCCAGTAATGTGTTGTTGGATGGAGACTTAAACGGAAAGTTAGGCGATTTTGGGTTGGCAAGATGTAGCCATCATGGAAATGATCCTCAGACAACTCATTTAGCTGGCACATTGGGCTACATTGCACCTGAGCTAACTAGACATGGTAAGGCAACTACAAGCACTGATATTTTCGCATTGGGTACATTTTGCTTAGAGGTTGCTTGTGGAAGGAGGCCAATCCAGTCAAGGTCACCACCTGAAGAGGTAATTCTAGTGGACTGGGTTATGNGCGGACTTGGAATGGGGTTTTCTGTTTTACCCTCGAAGCAAGTCTCTGGAGTCTTATCATCCGAACAGTTTGGCTTAATCAATATGACACAAGATGGAGACCCAAATAATCATGCCTTATCCATTGAGTTTGATACAAATCAAGACTTGGAAGTTGGGGATATCAATGCCAACCATGTTGGTTTCAATCTTAACGGCATAAGATCAACTAACTCAACTTCTGCAGGTTATTTTGCCAAAGATGGTGAATTCAAGAACCTCAACCTTGCAAGTGGAGAGCGCATACAAGCTTGGGTGGAGTACGATGGCATGGTGAAGCAACTCAATATCACAGTATGTCCATTGAACATAAATAAGCCAGATATTCCACTCTTGTCTATAGAAATTGATCTTTCACCAGTCTTCTTAGACCAAATGTATGTGGGTTTTATTGCACCGATTGGTGTACATCAACAGTCTGATTATGTTCTAGGTTGGAGTTTTCAATTGAACGGAAAAGCTCCACAACTTGTTCTTTCTCGCGTTCCTACTATACCACTCGAGAAAAAGTCTAATAAGAAACAAAGGAATTTGGCATTAGGATTGTCCACTGTAGGAGTATTTTCAGTGTCACTCACAATCTTTGCCATTTTTTTCTTGGTGAAAAGAAAAGCTAAATTCACTGAAATANATTGTAGGAGTAATTTCAGTTTCACTCACAATCTTTGCCATTTTTTTCTTGGTGAAAAGAAAAGCTAAATTCACTGAAATACTCGAAGATTGGGAGGTTGAATATGGGCCTCACAGATTTTTGTACAAGGACCTCTACATAGCCACCAAAGGCTTCAGAGAAAGTGAGGTTCTGGGAAGAGGAGGCTTTGGTCAAGTCTATAAAGGCGTCCTACCTACATCACAAATGCAAGTTGGAGTGAAGAAAATCTCACATGATTCAAAGCAAGGAATGAGAGAGTTTGTAGCAGAGATTGCTACCATTGGCAGACTGCGACATCCTAACTTGGTGCGACTCCTTGGTTATTGTCGACGAAAAGGTGAGCTCTTTTTGGTCTATGATTTTATGATTAATGGCAGCCTTGACAAGTTCATCTTTAGCCAGACAGAGGCCACTCTTAATTGGAATCAAAGATTCAAAATTATCAAGGACGTGGCCTCTGGACTTCGTTGCTTGCATGAAGAGTGGACGGAAGTAATTATTCACAGAGATATCAAGGCCAGTAATGTGTTGTTGGATGGAGACTTAAACGGAAAGTTAGGCGATTTTGGGTTGGCAAGATGTAGCCATCATGGAAATGATCCTCAGACAACTCATTTAGCTGGCACATTGGGCTACATTGCACCTGAGCTAACTAGACATGGTAAGGCAACTACAAGCACTGATATTTTCGCATTGGGTACATTTTGCTTAGAGGTTGCTTGTGGAAGGAGGCCAATCCAGTCAAGGTCACCACCTGAAGAGGTAATTCTAGTGGACTGGGTTGTGGAATGTTGGAGATCAGGAGAAATTTTGAAGACCGCAGATCCCAAATTAAACAATGATTTTGAGGTGGAGGAAATGGAGCTGGTCTTAAAGGTTGGATTACTTTGTTCACATCCTCTGCCAGCAATTAGGCCAAGCATATCTCAAGTTTTGATGTATTTAACTAGTCATGCTTCAATGCCTGAAAATTTGGATGCTCTTCTTTCGACACTTGAGTCTTGGAAGGGGCTCAATGATACCATGTTAAACCATTGTGTTTCTGAAACTAAAAATTCTAGACCCCTGCTTACAATTACTGAATTGTTTACCGGCCGCTGACTGTATGAACAAAAATCGAATTAGCTATATTTTACAGATTATTTATACATTGTATGCTGATGAATCCATATAAATTGACATGTTATTACATTCAATATCATATAAATTAACTCAAAGTTGTGCCATACATTACAATTTCACGCACTTTTTTCCAAGAAAATTGACGTTTTAAATCATTCTCTGCAATCCTCCAATGACCTTTCACTCTTTCATTACATCGCAAGACATAACATTACTGTTTCATTTATGTCAATTATATGTAAATGTTTCACATATATAGCACTCAGATAGGTTGAATGCTTGGAACGTAATAAAAATTCAAAACTTTCTTTTAAAAAAGAAAATAGCTTGCATCAATCATCCAAAGACTACAATTATTGCCATGTCATGGTCTCAACAGTCCATCAGGGTTTGGGTAGCCCCCACTCAAGCAGAGCAACTCAACTTAGGAATTCCGTGGTCTAGGCCAATTACCACATTCTCTCTTAATCTAAATCAATAACTACTCAGCTCAAAAAAAAAAATTTGTTTAATATTTGGTGGTGTCTGGGCCAGTTTACGTGCACCTCAACTAATTCTCTCTCCGGTAAAAAACAAGTCATCCACACCAGAATTAAGATATTCATGAGATATAAATCTCTCATGGTCTGACCCCAAAGAGTTATCAAGGTTTAAATTTAAGATATTTTTGTTTACAGTTTGCATCTATTACCACTTAAACTGCTCATTCGAGGCTTAGTTTGGCGCAAGGTCTAAAAGTCCATCATGAAGATAAAAATGCTTCTGTTACATATAACAATACTGATATAGTGACATTATTATATTCAATATTTATACCACAATGTTAACAAACTGAGATACTGATATTAATTATACGATTGGCTTGCAGTGTCCACAATTCTCCCACTTATTTTCTAACAGAATGGCAAGACTTGCTAGTATCGTGGTTAAAGAGTCCTGTTGGATTTTGATATTGCATTACATCATTCAGTTATTCTTTCTCTGGTTTTTTATAAGCGCAGTTGAATTGTGCTCAGGTGTTCGTTTCCATTAAATAAAAGTGAAAATTAAGTGAGTGTCCTAGATGTATTTGTTTGGAGATAAGTCCTGTAAAGAAACTTATAAGAGACTAAGTCTATATTTAAAATTATATGTAATAACTTAAGTCCATTTTTTTTTATCTCAAAAATACTTTTCCTTAAAAGAAAGTTAAATTATTTTCCTATTTTAGAAATTGTTATCATTTAATTCAATGTCAATTAAAATATGCCAATAAAATCTCTATCATAAATTTAAAATTCAAATTCAAAGCTCTCTCTCTCTCTCTCTCTCTATATATATATATATATATATATATATATACTCTCTCTTTCTATATATATATATACATATACTAGTCATAACTCGTGGCTGAAGGTACGATAAAATATAAAATTCGAGCGTCCAAAAAATTGATCTTACTATATTAAATTTTTTTAAAATATATTAACTACAAATTAATTAAATATATGATANATTGTAGGAGTAATTTCAGTTTCACTCACAATCTTTGCCATTTTTTTCTTGGTGAAAAGAAAAGCTAAATTCACTGAAATACTCGAAGATTGGGAGGTTGAATATGGGCCTCACAGATTTTTGTACAAGGACCTCTACATAGCCACCAAAGGCTTCAGAGAAAGTGAGGTTCTGGGAAGAGGGGGCTTTGGTCAAGTCTATAAAGGCGTCCTACCNAATTGACATTTGAGTCTGACAAAGGGATGATGTGTGAGGTAAGTGATTTGCGATGATTTTAAGGGGAAAACTATGACTGGGATAAAATTCAAACACACTCCTATTTTATATATATATATATATATATATATATATATATATATATATATATATATACACACGCTGATTTGTTATGGAGATGACGCAAGTATAGTGACTTTTGTGTGGTGGTGATGGTGGTGTGCGTTGTTGTGTAGGTGATGACAACGTGATGGTTGGCGTTGCTTGAGAGGTGACCATGGTGTGATGGTGGCAGTGCAATGGTGAGGAAGTGGTAGTCAAATATATATATACATAACATATATATTCAAATTCATGTTACTATTTTTTTTATTATGTTACTGTTCATGTTGCTACTTTTGGTGAGTATGTTACTGTTCATGTTATTATTATTTTAAGCATGTTACTACTATTATTTTACTAAATATTAATATTCAATGTTACTATTTTTTGCTTTTGAATGGTATTATTTTTTGTATTTGAATTTGAGAGGAATAATTATTGTTAAATATATTACAGTTTTTGTTAAGCATGTTACTATTTTTGTTGAATATGTTACTATTGTTTTTTTTTAAAAATATTAATATTGAATGTTTCAATTTTTTTTTATGTTTAAATGTTACTATTTTTTTGTGTTTAAATGTATTATATTTTGTGTCCAAATGATAACTTTTTTTTGTATTTGAATGTTACTATATATATATATATATATATATATATATATATAT